CATTCACATACCTTGCAAGAATAGCTTTCGGCAATACTAGTCCTCAGATGATATTACAGCTATACAAAACGTACATAAGGACCAATATTGAATATGCCCACTCAGTGTGGAGCTCTATTATTATATAAAGGATCGAGATTTGTTGGAGAAAGTGCAACGAAGATTCAGCAAGATTCTACAGCAGTTTCGCCACACTCCATACGAGGATAGAATGAGGCAGCTCAGGCTAACATCTTTAGAAGAGAGAACAAGAGGAGATCTGATTGAGACTCAAAATTTTGAACAATTACTATGACAGCAACCTGCAGGAAATTTTCTCACCGAATTTAAACCCGCATCTCCGAGGATACTCTAAAAAATTGAGCAAAGAGAGAGCCAATAAACTGCCGAGAAAAAACCTTCTAAGCAACATAGTTGTCTATAAGTGGAACTCTCTGAGTGAGGAGATCGTGAGTGCCCCAAGCATTAACAGCTTCAAAAATCGTCTGTACTCAGCAATGGATGAGATCAATGGTGTTTTTGTGCATTATGTGCCATAAAAAAAAAAGAAAAAAAAAAAACAGAATTACTGAAGAAAAAAAAAAAAAACCAAAGAAAAAAAGATGAAAACGAAAACCAAGAGCAAAGTCTAAATTTCGACCTTGCCCGTGAAAGGACGGGTTTCGACCGATTTCCGTTTTAATAAATAAATAAATAAATAAATAAATAAAATTTTTGACCGCTTCCGGAATGCCAACTTGAAACTCAACTCAAACAAGTGTTTTCTATTTCAAAAGAAAGTGGAATTCTTAGGTCACATGGTATCTGAAGATGGCATAAAAGTTATGGAAGGGAAAATAGATGCTATCAGGGATTGGCCAAAACCACGCGACAAACATGAACTAAGGAGTTTTCTAGGATTATGTTCTTATTATCGAAGATTTGTGGAAGGTTTTGCTCAATGTAGCTGGTCCTTGTCATCGATTAACGGAAGAAAAATCAAGATTTAATTGGACCCAAGACTGCGATTCCGCTTTCAGAAAATTGAAAGGAGCATTATGTACGAGCCCAGTGTTGTCCTATCCCGATCAGAAAGGCATGTTGATTTTGGATACAGATGCAAGTAACACCAGTATTGGAGCTCTCCTTTCACAAATCCAAAATTCACAAGAACATGTCGTAGAGTACTACAGTAAAACCTTATCAAAGCCGGAATGAAATTATTGTGTCACCATAGAAGAGAGTTGCTTGCCATAGTAAAAGCAGTCAATCTAGCAAGAAAGAAAGGAGTATCGCCGAAATAATCTTCAGCATGGGAAGGACCCTATAGAATAATAAAGAGGATCAATGATTGGGTTTATCGAATCCAGCGCAACACCAGGAGTAAGATGAAAGTTGTACATCTAGACAGATTAGCGAAATATCATGGGCGTGAAGTTGAACGGGTCGATCAACCTTAAGGGGAGGGCAGTGTTACGATAACGTTAACCGCTGTTGCTAGAATAGGCGTCCGCCAGGCTGTCAAGAATTTGATGTCGAATATCCTAGAACCTAGCGAATTATTCTACTATAATCGAGAAAATAAGATTATCGTGTGTGTTCTAGATTTTACAGGAATAGATTTAGGAATATATAAAAGGCCGCTATTGCTTTGTAGTTTGGACTTTGATACGATTTAAATAGTGATTTGTTGTAAAGAGTTTAATTGTTGAGTTAGTTATTAAAGTAATTAGTGTCAAAGTGTATTGTTACGTGGAATAAATTATTGCTGTGTTAATTGGACTTTGATTTTTGGAATAAATGAAACGAAACCAACGAACGAACCCAAAATTTCTGTCAGGCAACTCAAAGCCGTGACAGTATTTATATAATGACAAAACCTAAAGCACGATAAGCTCTGATGACATAATGGTAATGATCATTAAATTTCAGGTTGCTTTGAAAATTAACCCCTAGATCCTTACATTTATCATTTCTTTGCAGTGGTACATTATTTATTGTATATTATGTAGTATTTATATTCAGTTCAATCTTATACGTTTTGCAGAGGTCTTGTATTAGATTACTCTTGAGAGTTTGTACATTATCAATGGTAATTTTACTTGGTGTACCATGATGCTAAGACATGATCGTATTTTCTTAGTTCCTTAATGAAACAATAAAGTGACAGCAGACATTCTGAATGTACTGCAATCTATTCTTTGACACTATGTTCAGGCAGGATAAGAGACAATGCTACCATAATTAAACACAGACAAAACCAGAGATTCACATTCCTTTTTTCTAATTTTGAAATTTAAAATAGCCGATTTGCATAAAGTACTTTCATTCTAACGAAACTTATTTGTAGCAGCTTTTCTATGTGTTCCCTAAATCTAAGATTTATATCTATAAGTATATGGAGACCCAAGTTCCTTGAACAAGCTAAGAATTGCAATTCCTCATTCGCCAGCTTCAACATTAATGAACCCTGCAAAAATTCTCTGCGATGTTTCTGACAGAACAATAAAGTTTCAGTTTTACTAGCATTTATTCTTAGGTTATGATCACTAGAATATTGTAAAATAGACTGTAGATCTTCGTTAATAAGATCAGATACTGAGTTTGGATCGGAGGGATCAAAGTAGCTGGGTGTCGTCTGCGTATGATTGCATATGAGAATGTGAAACAGCATCAAATATGTCAAATGTATAAATTAAAAATAGCAAGGGCCCTATGATAGACCCCTATGGGACACCCGACACAATATGCCCAGCAGAGGAGACCCTCCTATTGATGCGTACCACCTGACCACAGCTGAAGTCTGCCATTCAGGTAATTATTGAAGAAAGCACAGGGATAGCTCATCAAAACCAAGATAGTGCAGCTTGGCATACAAGAGGTCGTGGTCCAGTACATCAAAAGCCTTTGAGTATGTTATCGATCAGATTAAACAAGGCAGTCGATGTGCTATGATCCTCCCGGAACCCCGACTGTTGTACTGGATACCAGTTATTTACAGTCATATACACATTTACCTGTGAGTGAACTGCCCTCTCTTAAACCTTAGACACAACTGGCAAAAGACTTATGGGTCTCAACTTGACGACATTAGAGGGATTGCGTATCTTGGGTACAGGACACACCACAGATTCTTTCCAACTTGAAAGAAAATATCCCTTCCCCAGGCAGTAGTTAATTATATGGGTAAGATGATATAATATTGCTGGGAGACTAAGCTTGAGCATATATAAAGTTAGATTATCACCTCCGGCAGCATTTGACTTCATTCTGTAAACATAATTAAAAATTGTTTCAGGGGATTCCATAGTAAAACTAAAATTCATTTCAGGCTTGTAAAAATGATTCTTGTAGAAAGATGTTTTGTTATTACAATTATCGGTTTTACAGAACAGGCTTAAAAAATATTTATTAACAACATCTGGATCTTGTAAACAGCCAGGAAGGTCATTGGTACTGTTAGCTCCAAAGCACACAGCATTTGCCTTAAACCTTTCCAGAGGGATTGTGGGTTCCTTTGGCTTTCCAGAAAATGCAAATATCCAGCTTTCCCACTACGAATTGACACAAAAGTTAAATTTCGTAAAGATTTATACCTCTCCCAATTTTTAGGTGTTTTTTTTTTTTTTTAGTTTAAAAAAGCATCATTGTCTCTTTCCCTCATCAATGATTTCAGAGAGTAACTGTCAAGAGGAGCATGACGGTTGAATAATAACATCAAACTATCCTAAAACTTACCTTCTCATCAATATAATTTATAATATAATAAATATCATCCCATGGTACATTAAACAAATCATTATAAAATGCATCCTCACTGAAGTTCTTGACATTTCTAAATGTAATTAACTTTTGAACATTTTTAGTAATGGGCAACCTTATATTACAGTAGGTATGTTAATCGATGGTCACTGATACCATCAACGCCAAGCGTGCTAGCAGTAGCTATACTATATCTGAATCACTAATTAGGATTGGATCGAGCAACGAGGAACAATTCTGAGTGACCCTAGTGGGTTTATCAATGACTTGACTAAAACCAAACATATCAAAAAAATCTTGTAAAGGGTTGGATCCAGTGTGAAACAGAGAATCTACGTTTAGATCTCCAAGGATTATAATGTAATTACAAGATGGTATGATATTGGGCAAGAATGCATCCAACGCCTGGGGCACAATTCAGGATATTGTTCTTAGTGCGGTATATTACACCAATAATAAGAGAGGTCTTGCAGGACACCCTAACATTAAACAAAATATTTTCAAAACCTTCTATTTGATCCCACTGTTGCCAGATCTCACGATTATTCGTAAGATTACACGATTTTGGACAGAATTTCACGATCTCACGAATAAGGTAGCAATTCTTACGAATTCTCTATGTAGTAATACAAATCAGTAAATAAATACATATATTGTCTAATCGAAACAAAAACTACTTTATTGTTTTTTTAAATTTGAAATCGATGAAAAAATTAACTCACAAGCACATAGCCTGAATCGCAGGAAATCCATCGATGTCTGCGGCTGACGTCACTCGCAGACCAACTGCCGACTCGAGAATAAGCGAACATCCTGCGAATAATGAACTTAGTGAAAACGAGATTCAGCTTCCAGAAATGCCTGTTAAAAACCGGCAAAAACAAGGATACAAGACTTAATAATAAAATGCTAATTTCTTATGAATGTAAAATCATGTTCACTTTATCAAAAATCTATAAAAGAACATTGTTGTGCTTTATTTTCCTATAATATAAAGCTATTTTTAGTCTCACGTTTTCTCACGATTTTTATTTCTCGATTCTCACGATTTTTTTAAATTTTATCTGGCAACGCTGTTTGATCCTGTAAATAAAGTCTATTGCATTGAAACTTAGTCTTAATATAAATCCCCACACCCTCTTCCCTACCCTCTGGACGATCACAGCGATAAAAAGAGTACCCGGAATTTTAAAAGCATCAGACACTGTATCCGCCCTCAGCCATGTTTCAGTAATTGCAACAGCATCAAAATCACTCACCTGCACAATATCAACAAACTCCTGAAACCCTGTAAAAATTGACCTGAGATTAAGATGTGCTAACTTAAATACAGATAATTTTTGTTTGTCAGACATTATTATTTACTTTTCCCCTCTTATCTAAGATTCAGAAAAATAGTCAATTCTTGAGTTAGCACTTTCCATGATTTTCAGCAAACAGGGGCAATTTCTATCCAACGCCGAGTGGTTAACATCCATCATTTATTTATTGACTTTTTCAGTATTTTCATATAAAAATCATCAATGGAGTTTAAGGAATTACAGCTTTTAATATTATCGATTATAGTTTTATCAGAATCTTCGGTATTCTTTGCTATCACAACTAATAACAACAGCACCATTTTTAGCCTCTCGAAACTTAGAAACATCAATACCTGAAGGATCTACTTTCATTCTAATATCTTTTTTTGCAACCAAGCTGTCCTGGTCACTTTTTGGCACAGCCATAATGACCAATATAACTTGATTTTTAAATGTATTCACTGCCTTATTAACGTAGGGTGCATCTAGAATAGGATTTTCTTCAGAAGTATGAACTGTTTCTGTTTCTGAGGTGTTTGCTGTATCCGTCTCGGAATTGTGTACTGTTTTTCGTATTGTTCTTTTATTTGGTGTTTTTTTCATTTGGCGTTATTTCCTTAAGTATTCTTTCATCAGGTGTTCTTTGTTTACTTGTTGATAGTTGAGGTGACTTTTTTTTCAACTGGTGGTTGTTTTGGTCAATTGGTTTCTTAACTGGTTTGAGTTTAATAGGTACATTAGTTATAATTTTTATTTTGGAATTTTTCTTTTTATCTTCTGGCTTTTTGTTTTCACACACTTTTCTTGGTCTTTGAAATAAATTTTCTTGTGATTCAAAGAAATGTTTGATTTTCTCATGCCGTAAATATTGGTCTTCTCTGAGTTCTCATCTTTTTCACATTGTGGGGACAAGTGTGTTGGTGGTAATTTTTCTATTTCTGTTGGAAAAATTTCTTCAGGAGGGCGTGATAATGCGTCTGCATTAACATTCTGCGTTCCTTTCTTACACTGAATAGTTATATTCAAATTCTTGAAATTTTAATCTCCATCTTACTAATTTTGAACCAGGGTCTTTGATAGAAAAGAGCCATTGTAATGGTTTATGGTCAGTCACTATTGCAAATTTTCGGCCAAATAAATATGAATGGAAATATTTCGTAACCCATATTATTGCTAATAATTCCTTCTCGATTGTTGAGTAATTGCACTCGGCTGGATCTAGAGTTCTACTGCTATAATCAATAGGTAAATCCGATCTAATTAGTCCTTGCGAAAGTACTGCACCAATTGCGTACTCTGAAGCATTGGTTGTTAATACAAAAGGTTTTTCAAAATCGTGAAATTGAAGTATTGGGTCATTGCTTAAAAGGTCTTTACAAAGGTTGAAAGCTGGTGATGAATGCTTTGTCATGAATCACTTTGACATTTTTCTTTGAACAATTTGTTAAAGGTTTTGTAATTTTTGCAAATTTTTTTATAAATTTCCTATAATAACCTCTATGAGGCCAAGAAATTATTTAATTTCTTTCGGGGTTTTGGGTATTCTAAAATTTTTGACTGCTTCTATTTTTCGAGGGTTTGGTTTGACACCTTCTGGAATAATGATGTGAGCTAGAAATTCGACACTTTTCTGTAAAAATTCAGATTTGTCCAACTGTATTTTCTTATTGAAAAACATTAATCGTTCGAATACTAGTTTTAAAGAGGTTATGTGTTCTTGTAGGTTGGTTGAATGGATAATGATATCATCCATATAAACTAGACTGACTTTTCCTATAGTAATCCTCGTAAAACAATATCCATTGCTCGTTGGAACGTAGGAGGAGCATTTTTTAACCCGAAGGGCATACGTGTGTGTATTCATAATGTCCATGGTCTACATTGAATGCTGTTTTGAGAATACTTTTTGGGTCCATTTAAATCTGGTGAAACCCACTGGCTAAATCCACGGTCGTAAAATATTGACAACGTCCTAGTTTATCTAATATATCTGCGATATTTGATATTGGATATTTATCACTCATGGTCCTTTCATTCAACTTGCTGTAATCAATTACTAAACTCCATTTTTGTTATAGTATGCCGTGAGAAAAAAATGTAAAAAATCCAAATCCAGACGCAAACCCGAACACTGGCTGGACCACGCCAAAGACAAATTCGACTGGAAACTGATCCAAGACATGAAAATCGTATTTGCAATTTTACTATTGTTCGTACCTTTGCCGATTTTTTGGTCCTTATTCGATCAGCAAGGCTCCAGATGGACGTTCCAAGTAACTTTTGCCTCAAAACCCATTAAAAACCATACAATTTGCTTCCAATTTAAGGCCGCTCACATGGACGGAAACATTCTAGGCATCCAAATCGTCCCGGATCAGATGCAAGTCATAAATCCAGCGATGGTTTTGGTTCTTATACCGGTTTTCGATAAGATATTGTATCCGTGTTGCGAAAAGTTGAATTGCTTGAAGAATCCTTTGCATCGAATGGCTATTGGAGGTTTAACTGCTGGCCTGGCTTTTGTAGCCGGTAATTTAATCAAAACCATTAAAACTTATTATAAAATAAGCAAATTTTTAGCTGGTTTTTTAGAATTAGTCTTGGAAAAAACATATCCGGCACTTCCGGCAAAAAATCACGGATCTGTTAATGTGATAAACTCTTTGCCTTGCAGCATAACAATTATTAGTGAATTTAGTTGGATCATGCAAGTGTTGGATGCCTCTAAAATTTTAAGGTTTCAAAATATTCCTTGTCACAATCGCACTAGGTATACTTTAGAAATTAGAGCCCCTATTAAATGTGACCATATCAGACTTAATAAGGAGCGATTTAAAATGACAGCAATATTGGAAGAAAGGAAGGTAAATGTATTGTTTTGTGTGTAAGTAGTTGATAATTTATTGGGTTTATAGGAAGACACTTTCATTATTGCCCTTGATGATAACCATGAAATTCAAGGATACATGACTGATCCGGTAGATTTTACAAAATCAGTCACTGGGGCTCCAAAATTTCGGTTTTTATTGTGCTTATGTGTTAATTCTAAATGTTTTTTAGTGGAATTTTAGGATAGATTTTGTAAAAAGTAGAAATATTTTACAAAACGTCACTGTTACATTGAAGAGTGTCTCAGATCTGCAAGATGTATATTTTGTGGGTGAGCCTTTGAAAAGAAACGCTATAATTGTATCGCCCTACATTGAAATACCTGAAGGAGTGTAAGTGGAGTGTTTTCTTCGATTTTCAAGCTATTTGCAATTTGTTTTCAGATACGAATGTATTATAGATAATAATCATCAGACTTTATACAAGAAACATTTTCATTTTGCTTTGGGAGGTGTTTATTCGTTGATTATAAGAGAAAATTTAGGAAAAATTGAGGTAATTGAATCAGAATATTATTCCAAAGGAAAAGACTTCTATTATGTTTTTTTCTTATATTTTAATTTTATTTTTGTCAAGCTGTGAAAAAAATACACTTCAATATACAGCTACGTAAAGTTGAGGTTTGAACTCGGTATAAACAAGTAGCCCAAGAAATTTATGGGTTTTTCAAAGAATTTTGCGAGGGCAGGCTGATTTTTTCAGGGCTGATTGGAGACTGTGTCCTGAGTATTGAGCCAAAAAATCACACTCGAATGCCTTGTGCGTTCGGCCCTATTGGCCTTTTTCTTATTTATTTTTTTTCGACAAAATTACCTTAACAAAACTTGTAGATAATTACATTCTGATCAACTTTGCCTCATGACATTTTTTGCTAGCTATTTTAGTTTAGGCGTTGCGGCCATTTTAGTGCTCCAGAATTCGCAAAAAAATTAAATAGCAAATTTGCAGATTATTGTAACTTTAATAAAATTACTGGTAATGTACTTCATTACGTTATCGGTTTCAGTCCAGGAAATGATACATTACATCACTAATCCGGTGGAATCATTTTCCCGGAGTGAAAGCGTGAAATCGAAATGATGTTTTTCTGCGATTGACAAGAAATGTCAGAATTTTTGACCGGTTGACAGGTCGCAAAACTCAATATTCTGGTATTTTAATTATGTTTCAATAGTTGGTATCAATGAATAACAATAATAAACATTTAACAGATATTTAAAGGATCGCAGAAAAAATAGTAAACTGTGTTTTTTTTTGAAGATAAAAGTCAAAATGACATTGTGTTGGCAATACAATGTAAAATTGTCAATGCATTCAAATTTTGTATGTAGAAAAGGCTGGTGTTGCCAACATAGTTACTAAATTTTTGACTTGGGGAATTATCTTTAAAAAAAAACAGACTTTATGTGTATTTCGGTGGAAAAGCACATTCTCGGCCTTCGGTGTTTGCCGGCCTCGGCTACGCCTCGCCCGTTAACTTACACCGTCGGCCGAGAATGTGTCACTTTTCCACCTAAATACACAATATACTATTTTTTGACAATACTGGGATCTGTAACCTGTCTGAAAAGTGACAAAATGTTTTTTATGTCATACCAATACATTATTGTGTTTTTATACCTTAGATACCATCTATATAATTCATTACTTTATGCCCGTGCGGGCATAAAGTACACATTATGGCCCGCGCGGGCATAAAGTACACATTATGGCCCGCGCAGGCATGACATAATAGTTATTTATGTATCAAGGGTACTAAGTAGATGATTATGCCCCGAGGGCGACAGTCTTACAAAGCCGAGGGCCTCTGGCCCGAGGGTTCGTAAGTTGCCCGAGGGTATATATCTATTAGTACCCGTGGTGCATACAAACTTTTATGTCATGCCTGCGCGGGCCATAATGTGTACTTTATGCCCGCGCGGGCCATAATGTGTACTTTATGCCCGCACGGGCATAAAGTAATGAATTATATAGATGGTATCTAAGGTATAAAAACACAATAATGTACTGGTATGACATAAAAGTTTGTATGCACCACGGTTACTAATAGATATATACCCTCGGGCAACTTACGAACCCTCGGGCCAGAGGCCCTCGGCTTTGTAAGACTGTCGCCCTCGGGGCATAATCATCTACTTAGTACCCTTGATACATAAATAACTATTTTTTCTATAATCGGCCTAGAAAGTAGACTTTGTCGATTAAATTTGTGCTCGCAAAGTAGACATTACGAGCAAAAAGTGCCTTTTGCCGATCTCAAGATATTATAAAGTACTTATTTTGGCAATTGCCTAATTATACTGCATACGGCTAGTCAGCATCAGTCCGGAGGCCATGGGTCTATGGGTTCCTTGTATACTTCTTACCTTTGGGCGCCACCAAGTTAATTGTGACTTAACTAGGAAGATCACTTATTGATGTTATAACAAAACTTGTACAATTGGAGCGCTTAACAATAAAACAACCAATTAGGTACAATAATGTATCTGGCTTTCTTTATTAAAAAATAATAACAATAATAATAAGTGTAGGCACCAAGTAATTAGGACTTAACTATTGTGCCAATAAGTAGCCACGAAGTTATTAAAAAAAGGTGTTTAGGATTAGGCCTGTACCCAATTTGTGAATATTTGAATAAATAAAAAAAATGTAAATAATGAATATATGAATTTAAAAATAAACAGTATTAACTGTTTATTAACACTTGTGGAAGATTAAAAAAAACAGTATGGGTTACACTCTACCAATAGGCAAATTTAACACAGAAAGGTGAAAGTTATTCTTTGGGCAACCTCAGGGTAAAATTCTAGAATTTTATTTAAGGGGCACTTACCGACGTAATTCGGTGTCAGATGATTTATATAAGATTTGCCTAAATAGTAAAGGTGCAACTTACATGTATACAAGTGAAATGTATGTGAAAATCCAGAAGTTTCCAAAGTGAGATTATCTACAGGTTTGGTCTCACTATAGATAGGCTAAGCTATCCACGTTGTATCTGTTTAACGTAGAACCCAATGTGGTTCTAGCAGAGTGGTACCAATAGAGTTGCTGAAGAAAGGCTACCAAAGCCCCAACTGAGAGCAATCTAGATCCAGTCTAGAATCTCTCTAAATACAGCTTAGCAACTGTCCAACTATAGCCTGAGACTAGGAGTAGGAGTAGGATTGTCCAACTATAGCCTGAGACTAGGAGTAGGAGTAGGATTGTCCAACTATAGCCTGAGACTAGGACCCTCAAATTGAGATCCCTCAATTTGATCTAGACCAAAGGTGAAGTCCAAATGCTGCTCGGAACAGTCCGAAACAGAATCCAAAAATGACCAAGGGACGACTCTAGACAATTATCAGCAAGAAATTAGTCTAAAACTTGAGCTCCCTGGCACAAAATTCCAAAAAGTCTCGCCCCAAAAATAATTAGAGCCGAGGCCCGAGACCGGACGACTACTCAGCGTGAGGTCGCAGATCAAAAGGGCAGATTCTTCATTTTGATTTCGGAAGAAGACTTTCATCTGTCAAACTTCTAATTTTGACATTGAAGAAAATTATAGAAAAGGACGTGTTCAGTTTCACCCCAAAAGTACGAACTGAGAATTGGTTGTGTAAAAAAATGACTGGTGAATGTTGAAAAGTGCCTATAGAACATATATCAAAAGGTAGAACAGGTCTAAAGAAAACGCCTAGACAAAACAGCTGTTCAATGACATGATGGAAATGAAAAGTCAAAGAGTAAACAACAATTATTATCATAACCTCAGATTATTGACTGGATTTGCAAACAGGGATGATGATGGTACTAACTCCTTTTCCTAAGATTCTAATCAATAACAGCGGGCCCTGCCGTACTGAATCAAACCTTCCTATATCAATTAACAAAACTTGCAAACCTGCACCAAAAAAACTTTCAGTAGAAGGCAGTACTCAAGGTAACAAAATCTGGGCACAGAAAAGATAGTTGTTTATTCATTTATTTCATTGTAGTTTTATATGGAATCATATCTACTAAAGCAAAACAAGGTAGCTTATTAGCCAAGAAATTGAAAACGTTACAATATTTGCCAATATCAACAATATGTTTCGATCGGCAAAGTACCACTTTGCGCTCTTAATATACAAATAGCTATTGTGCAACCGTCCGCCAAATTCAATTTCGCGAAACGCCACATTTTACCTGAAAAATGTGTCAAATCCTTAGAAACCCTATGCATGCCACAATGTCCACCAGGTCAAATAAAAATTTTCAAATGCCTAAAAGGCCTTACAAGCGAAAGAAATAAAGTTACAATAAAATATCATCAAGCAAAGTAATAGAGAATTTTATTAGGTATAATAATTTTTGCTATTTAATTTTTTTGCGAATTCTGAAGCACTAAAATGGCCGCAGCGCCTAAAGTAAAATAGCTAGCAAAAAAAGTCATAAGGCAAAGTTGATCAGAATGTAATTATCTACAAGTTTTGTGAAGGTCATTTTGTCGAAAAAGGCTTTCGAGTGTGATTTTTTGGCTCAATGCTCAGGACATACTTCCCAATCAGCCCTGGAAAAATCAGCCTGCCCTCGCAAAAATTTTTGCGGCCCTGGTATAAATTTCTTGGGCTAAAGGGTTTTTGTTGTTTTTTAGTTTGTAAAACTTTTCACCTTATCCGATCCCAATTCGATAAACATGTTATGGCAAACTCCTCAATATTTCCTAATATCGGTGGCCGAGATTATGTTTGGAGTTGCAGGCTTGGAGTTTTCCTTTACGCAGGTATTTTTTTTTTTAAATCTAGTCATAGACAGTTTATTTGTAGAATTGTAGGCCCCCAAAAGTATGAAAACTGTTACCATAGCTGGATGGTATCTTTCTACAGCGGTTGGGAATTTATTTGTAATTGCTATTACTCAGATGAATATGTTTGAAAGTCAGGTAAGGATTGAGTGTTTGTATAGAGGAGTCTCGGTGCAATAGTCACACTCAGATTACTTATTTAATGGTGGGAAGTTTGAAATCTCATAACCATAATGACATACGGATATCGGTATAAGTCTTCCAACAGTTCTGTTGGTTGATGGTTGATACTTGATGTTCCACGATAAGTTGTGCGGGGATTTTCTGAGTATCTAATAGACTCTCCTAAGTAGGTATTTCTACTCTTTACCAAGACGATGGTGAAAAATTTCATATGCATTATTCAGCATCAAATGTAGATTTCTGAGCTTCATCTGCAACACCAATAATTGAGAATTCACTAATTGATGTTTGTAAATTTTCCTCAATATTTCATCAAATTCCTCTCAAAAAAATTAAATTGCAATCATTACAAAAATTTATTCTACTTATAAAAAAAAACAATAAAAATCATAAGAGTTTTATATTATCCAACGGGATTATAAGTATCAATCTAAGCTATAAGGACTGGAATTTGACAAGGTTAATCACTTAACTATGATCAATCGTTATAATTAACTGATAATAAACTCTTGTTTTACAATATATTATTCCTTTGTAGGCTCACGAGTTTTTTTTATTTGCCATCCTAATAGTAGCAGACATGGCTTTGTTCATAGAAATGGCATCGAAGTATAAATTCGTACAAATGGAAGTTGCAAGTTCGGCTTTCATGATGGAAACTCCTCTGTTGGATTTTGAAGAATAACGAAGACTATAAGTTAATTATTGACAAAAATAATCTTATCATGTTCACACACAATGCCGTAGATAATAATATTGATAAAAACATCAATTTAATTGAAACAATGCACGTACAATAAATAATGAAATCGTAAAATCGGTTTCGAGCTTTGATAACAGATAAGATTTTGTGGAATTTATCAATTAAAATATATATTTTTTTTAATGTTGGAAATTAATATTGTTACCTTATTACAGTCGTGACTTGAACTTTACTAGTGATAGTTGAGACACTGATAATATGGGTAAAGAAAAAGATACTGGTAAGAACACTATTATTGGACTATTGTGAATGTAAACTACCACAAAAATTTGGTAAACATCAAGAATAATAATTGTAGAGTATTTATTTATTTTTCAGTTTTTTAACTGTTTTGAAAAGTCTGACGTTTGAGGCTATGAAGATTCAGTCTTAATTTTTTGATCATGGTATAAAGTTTCAGTTTCTATACACTTACTGTGACCTCAAATTAAATTTCTTGCATAAAGGTTCAGTTTCTATACTGATTGTATGTGACCCCAAGTTAAATTTCTTAATACATTTGGAAATGATTCGCACTATACTACTTAATAGTTTGTAACAATCTTGACTGCGTCAATTCAATCAACAATATCAGGAATTTTAATAAAAAAAATTGAAACCAATAATTAATTATTGGTTTTAAGTGCGCCTAAAACCATAACCATGTAATTTCAAGGTTTAATTTTTACTTGATAATAATATTTACGTACCTATACTGATTGGAAGCTATAAAAATTCATTAATTTTTTTTTTAAATGCATTTAATTAAAAATATTCATAAAGTTATTTCAAAAGTTACAATGTATAATAACAATCAAACTAAAAGATAAAGGGATTTGAATAGGTACTTTTTCCTATTGACATTAAGATAAATATGACTCAAATTATAAACCCTCGAAATGTTAATTTAACACATTCATCATTCATTGCTATCAAAGTCTCTCTACATATTATCTACATGATTGTTCACCAAATAACTGGATTTTTTTTTGACTTATGGTGCAACATCTAATTAGGTACCCACTTACTTAATGCAGTTGTTATCAACAAAGGGGCATCCATCATATAGTTGTTGACAAAATAAAATTTAATGAATTTTGAAACCTACTAGATATTATTTTTATTATTAATTGCATGTTATGATGTCAAAGATCAATATAGATATTTTAATTTTGAGCTTTAATAATAATTGGGGTGTTTAGACCACAGTCGGTAAATTTTGGGTTTCTAGAGCTTACGAGTGAGTTTACAACACTGAAAATATCATGTACAGGTTCAAACTAAATCAGATGAGAAATGAAGAAATTATAGCGACATTTGCCCATGAATTCGATAAAATCAGGAGATAATTTGGATTTGGTAGGTAACAGGAAGTTGTAACACTTAAAAAAAAAAATTATTTTATCTTTGGTTTGAGACTATTAAAATTCCCCAGTCCTTGAAATATCTTAAGTGGAATGTTCTTCAGATTGAGAGGATACGTTCAACAACCATCAATGAATGAATATAATTTCTGACGTAAGATATCAATACGTAGGCCGATAACAAGTTTTTAAAAAAACAATTTATTCACTAAATTACAATAGAGAATAACTTTCGCGTTACGCGTTACAAAGTTTCAAATAAGAAATATAATTACAATTCAACTGACTAACTATTCTAGGCGGGCAGCGATATTTATAATAAAGAAAAGCGAATTAAGCAGTTTATATGAATGGTCAGCAAATAGAGCTGACATTACTCCTCCCTTCTTAAGATACAACTTCATGCTAAGCGAGGTAGTTGGATTGGTCGGGCTTCTTCTTCGGGGTGGTTGTCCCCTCTTCGTTTCTTCAGCTTCGGTGCTAGTTTCTTATAGCCAAGAACAGCACACCCAGCAAGGATCATAGCATATATCAGAATGGTTCCCAAACTTGGTAGTCTTCTGATTTCACTAAACGTCAAACGGTCTTCTACAATCTCATTAGCTAGTTGGTGGAGATTGTCCAGTTTTACGGTTTTCAAGTGTGTACCTAAATTCAGGGAATGCATTAATTCAGGTACATTTGGAAGGTCAGGAAATAGTATAGGTTGTGCATCTGATTTCAGAGGCTTCTTTTCGTTGATAATCAGTCTCGAAGAGATAGTTATTTGGCAACTGGTTGATATACGAACTAGAAAGGCTCCAATAACTTTTCTGATTTCTTCTTGTCCAAAGCACTTGAGTTTTATAGGTACTTTAGCCGGAAGTACAAATACCCATTGATTGGATTTGTCCAATCGATTGATTATTGGTTGTGTGATTTTGACTTCAGTTGGCTTGCAAGTAGAAGTGTCTTTTTCGGAGTTTAGTAGCTTTACTTCACATGGACTGCTGTCTTGAAGTTCGTGGAGTTCTTCTTTTTCGCATAGGTGGAATTCAGGAAGGATTTCCTGGCATTCTTGGCCATAATGTGCGTAGTGCAATCCGTTTTTTAGAAGATATTTATTTTGTGGAAGGACTACCATAAACTGACTGACTTTTGATTGGTATTGAATATAGGTGGAAATAATCGAAAGATTCAGGATACATTATAGGTATATGGACCAAATAAGTTATTTTATTGTTAAGAACAAATGATTCTAATTTGATGATTTTTTCATACAAAAGAATGTTCTCAACATTAACTGCTAAAGGCATTTGTTCATTACTTAGTTGTTTTTGTAATTTGATTAGTTCTGTACTTACAGAGATCTTCAGTTCTCATTATGCTAGGATGCATAATTTTTAACTTGGAAAAAGTTAAAGAGTTTTCAACATCCTGTAATATTGAATCTATTATTTCATAGACATTAATAATTTCATTAATAATGTCTTTAATATAAAGAGAATTTTCCCTATAAGCAGATTTCTCTACTATGTGTGCGATTTGATTGATTTTTGATTCTAAGAGCTTCTCATTATAATTTATTTGTTTTATCGTCGTATTGAATTTTTCAATAACAGTTAAAGAAAGTGAGTTTTGTTTCAAAATATTTGCTTGCAAATTCTTTTGATTTCCTTGCAATTCCCTTATAAGATTTTCATAACGTTCGCCATCGTCAGCGTCGAGGTTTCCGGTTACGAATTTGAAAATTGACCCTAGGCCGTTAATCAAGCCTCTTTTTGTTCTTTGTGGCTGGGGAATTATTTCTTTAATTTTGTTATCTACTCTAATTTGTATTAGTTGAATTAATTTGATATAATTACTAATATCTTCGAATACTCTTTGTGTCCCTTAAGCATGTTAGTGATATTATTGGATTTAGAGTGTAGTTTTTTAATTTCGATTAGTATGGGATTTAGGTCATAGTAGTGTATTAATGTGTAGGTGTAGTCTCTAATTTTTGCATTTCCAAGTTTCACTGGGATAATTCCAGGATTATCGTCCAATTTTCTTATGGAGATTTGCTCTTGGTTTCCTAATGCGTGGGTTATAAAGCTGAAATAAAGATTAGTAAGCGTAAGCATGAGGTTATTATATTCATATTTATTAGTACCAATATTATTATACTTATTACCTATTTATTAAAATTAACTTAAGTATCGAAACTATATTTGTTTCTTAGAGGACGTTTAATATTGTCCATATGCACTTTGCCTAGAGTGTCCATTGTTATTGTTTTCCGTGTGGGGTCAACGGTCTCTATTTGTGTGGCTGGTCGAAATTTGTCTCCTAATTTTTGGCGTGTATGTTTCTTTACATATATTTTCTGTTCTGGTCTAAATAATGTTGGCTTATCACGATTTTCATTGATTTTGCCAATTATTTTATTTTTTGTATCCATAAGACGTTCATTTATGTTAGAATACAAAAGTTTTGTTTTATTTTTGTGCTCGTTGACGTAATCTGTAATTAGGAGTTGATCTAACTTAAGATCGAATGGGTCATTGGGACTTATGTGTCCTGTGATTATGTCAATGGGCTTGTGTTTGGTTACAGAGTGGATCGTATGATTGTATGCTAAGATTGCATATTTAATTTTTTGGGTAATTGGGGTTTTTAGGAATCCCTGATTGTTGAAAATTCTTATGTGTTCAGATAAGGTTGAGTGGAGTCTCTCTATTACGCCATTAGATTGGGGATGTTCAGGAGAACAAAAATGTATTTTTACTTTGTGAAGTTGAAGTAGTTCAGTAAGAACAGTATTTTTGAACTCGGTTCCATTGTCGGTGATTATCTTTGATGGAATGCCATGATGTGAGAAGAAGGATATGAGATTATCACATATTTCGGTAGCGGATAAAGATGTAAGGGCATAAGCTTGGGCATATTTAGAAAAACTGTCTATTATAGTAAGAAATTTAACCTTATCGAGAGTATATGTATCAAGGTGGATGATGTCAAATGGTTTTGTTGCAGAAGGCGTGATGTTCATTTCCATATTTATTGGGTGACGTTCATATTTGCTACGTTGGCAAATTTCACATTCATTGATAAATGATTGAATGGATTCTTTCAGGTTGGGCCAATAATATTTTTCTTTAATTCGTTGCTCGGTTTCTTCGATTCCTCGGTGATTTGTCTTGCTCTCATGGTAATTTTGAATTACCTCTGCTATTTCTGTTTTGTTGACTACATCAATTAATTTTATCAAGCATCTTTTAAATTTAATTGAAGGCCATTTAAAGTTTTTCCTTATTATTTCGCAGAAAGGTTCGTAAGTATCTGGAGTTTCGAAATAAATGGAATATAGCTTTTCGGGTACTACATTTTCTTTCACAAATTGCATGACGTCATTCTCAAAATTATTTTCCGATAATTGGACTAGAAATCTTCTTTTCTTCTCGAATAATATCAAGCGTTTTGTTTTTGCAGGTGAATGCAAAACGCTCGTAATAATTACTTGATTAGCCCCGTAATTAACTGCTGATTCTATAATAGGGACTCCTACTATAGGATCTTGTTCGTTGTTTGTATGTATGGTTTCATTGTCGTCTTCATTTGCTGGTGGGTCAAGGTAGGGTTGTGCCATCGTTGAAATTAGGTCTAAGTTATCTTCGTTGGCATTTATATTTTCGTTGTTCGTGTTCGACGATGAGGTGCCTTCTTGTTCGAGTTGCTTATTAAATTCTTCGATGTATGAGACTAAACTTGAGATGTTGGCGGCTTCTTTTGTGTGTAACTCAATGCGACTTAGCGCGTCAGCATTTGTGTTAAGTTTTCCTTTCTCATATGTTATTTGGTAGTCGAATTCTTGTAATTTTATTCGCCATCGTATTAATTTTGAAGTGGGATCTTT